ACCTGGGAGCCAGTCTCCCCAGAGAGATGTGTACAACTAATTAGCATGTTATCAGGGGATAAATCCCCGGGGGAGGATATGATTCCACCCGAGGTATTCTTATTGAACCAGATGTGGTGGGCCCCTATTTTTGCATCTCTCTTTACCACTATTAATGCCACTCTTAAGATCCCGCCAAATTGGAAACAGAGCATAGTCATCCCAATACATAAAAAGGGGGACCCACAAGATCCGCGTAACTATCGACCCATCAGCCTGCTAGACATATCATACAAGGTTTACTCTAGATTCTTGCTAGAGAAATTAATCGAGTGGGCAGAAGAAACAAAGCTATTCCACCCGGAACAGGCTGGCTTCCGTAAAGGTCACAGTACATCTGGCCAATGTCTTGTTCTATTTACCCTGATTGATAAATACCTAAACAGGTTTAACTGCAAACTACACGCGGCTTTTGTGGACCTGACCGCCGCTTTTGACTCCATTCCCAGAGATAGGCTATGGCAGAAGCTTAGTTACACCAACATAGATAAGAGACTCCTCCTTCTTCTTATGGAAATTCACAATGACATATCGGCCAGAGTAAAATTCGGCCCCCTGGGAGCTCTTTCTGATTCTTTCCCTCTGAATAAAGGGGTCAAACAGGGCTGCCTCTTGGCCCCTTTTCTATTCAATTTCTATATCAACGACATCGTTACAACTATGCAGGCCCTAAATCAATCTGCCCCTCTCTACAACAGCTCAAGATCCCCATATTACTCTATGCGGACGACATGGTGATACTGTCTTTAACCAAGCAGGGCTTAAACAACATGCTCAGAGGGCTCATGACATATTGTGATACCAATTCCCTCAAAATCAATTTCGCCAAAACCAAAATTCTTACTTTTGGCACGAAAACTCGGAAGTCATTCTGGAACTTTGAGGGCCACTCTATTGAATATTGCTCAGCTTTCAAGTATTTGGGAATCACTTTTCAGCATGGGCTTAGCTGGTCAGCTCACCTAAATATGACCATCCTGGCTGCCCGTAGAACCATCAAAGCCTTGGAGAAATTCTTCTATGCAAAAGGCGGCCAGTTGGTTCCACCAATCAGAAAAGCATTTATTAGCAAAGTCCTCCCGATGTTACTGTATGGGGTTGAAATCTGGGGGTGGAATTTAAAAACACTTCAACGGCTGGAGATTCTACAAAACTCTTTTGTACGAAAGATACTGGGTCTCCCCAAGGGCTCGGTTGCTGCTCAGTTAAGAACAGAACTGGGCCTCCCTCCATTGTTGCGAGAGCCCATATTAGAATTATTAGTTTTTATTGCAAATTAATCAATGCCCCAGGTTCCCTACTAGCCAGGCAAGCCTTTTTAACTTGTTCTCACTCCAACAAATGGTCCAAGGCCATGGAGACTATTACTGTACGCTACTCCCTCCCAGAATTCGACACGTTGTCATCTTGGGACCAACATAAAATCCGGGACTGGATTCTTATAAGAGATGAGGCCATGGACCGGGCACAGTCCACCTCAGCTCGCCTCTCCATGTGGCTCCCTAAAGTGAAAGTGGTAAGATCACTTGCCAACTACTTGATAGACCTGACGGAGCCCAATTTGAGAAGAGCGTTTACAATGGCCCGTTTTCATTCTATACCCACGGCCTTCTTGCAGGGGACCTACTCTAAGACCCCTATTACTCAGCGTCTATGTCCATGCACAATGAATGAAGTAGAGGACTTCATACATTTCTTTTTCTACTGCCCTATTTATGACCCAATAAGACCTAAGCTCCTCCTCTTGATCCCGTCCTCCATTTCATCTAAGGAAGACTGTCTGAAAGCACTTCTTGTGGACGCAAATCCCCAAATTTCACGTGGGGTGGCAATCTTCATAGTGCAGGCTCTGAAACTCAGGGCTACTCTGACAGGGTAGTGTGCCCTAGTCCTGGACCTGTTTAATTCTTTTATTACCTTTTAACTCAATGTGCTGAGCCTATTTTGGGGCCATTTTATGCTTTATTTATATCCGCATACTAGTTTTTGGTGCTGGCAACCAAATCTTTGTATTATTGTCTTAGGGTGTTTTAAATGTCATTACGCCAGCAATATCGCTTTGAATTTTGCTTGGTTGCTTGTCCCCAACATTTTTTGTATTGTCTTATTTTGCTATGGCTGTATGCTAATGCAGATTTAATAAATATATAATAGATTTTAGTCCTTCAGTCCATGTATTTCAGCAGGTTTATTGTGTATCTGAATAATGTTGCATATCATCCATAAAGTTACAAATTCAAAGCTCTGCGTTGAGCCTTTTGCCTCTCGCAGGAGACTCTTAAAGAATCTCCAGTAGATTGGACTGGTATATCTATTTTAACGCTTCATGATAAATTATGTGTGTGAGGAAAGGGTGAAGGAAATAAAATTGTCCGTTCTGTGTTCCTTCAAATGCTGGATCACCTTTTAAAAAACAATGTCCCTGTCAGTGTTAAGTAAAAACTGAAACATGCTGGGCAGTGCCGAGAACTGTACAAAGACAAGTTCAGATCAGGAGTGTGAATGGAATTTGTAAAACTCCATTCCAGTGAGTGAAGATTTTGAGGCAGCAGCAGACAGGAAGACAACCACAAGGGAAGTGATATCTTCATGCAAACCTAGCCTTCTGTAGGAATACCAATAACAGTCCATCTGTGGACCCATAGGGGATGTCTTCAGCTGTCTCTGATGACTATAGCTGTAGGGGTTGAAGTATGTTGCTATTAGGAGTTGTAAAATATGGCTCCTGTTTGCAAGAGTTCATTGCTGGAAAGGGAGATTTTCACAGCAGGGGTGCAAAAGCTTCACAGCCAAGACATCCGACTAAAACCTTTTCTTTCCCAGTTAAATAAAACTTTTGCTTCCAAACAGTGCCTGCTGAAATGAAAAATTGCATTTAGCTTTTTGCTTTTTTGCTGGCGGAAACACAGATATGACGTTATAACTTCTGCAGCAAAAGTAAGTCTGTCAATTTTCTATGCCACGTGTACATTTTATGATTGTGGTGGAATCTGCTTGGCACCATAAAATAAGCTACTTTTCTCTTGGATGGGGAAAAAGGACTCAGGGCACCATATGAGAACTTCCATATAGAAATGAATGTCAGGAGTAAAATCATGACAGCATGCATGAATACCCTTCAGGAGTTGCCAAATGGAAAGAAGAGTCTTTCAATGCCATTAAATGAGAATTTAAAATGGAAAAGAAGGAGGAGAGTGGATGTATGCTAGACCAGACAATCTGGAAGAATTTGGTAGTAGGTAGTATTGTTGCCAGGGTCAGCCCTGGAGAGGGACAGTGAACACCAGGAAATAGCTTTTCAGTAGAGTGGTACCTTGGTTCTCAAGCACCTTGGTTCTCAAACACCTTGGTTCCCAAACACCAAAACCCCGGAAGTAAATGTTCTGGTTTTCAAACATTTTTCGGAAGCCGAATGTCTGATGCAGCTGTCAGCTATTGTTTCCAGGGCGCCTGCACCAATCAGAAGCTGTGCCTTGGCAAACACACTTTCAGAACTGATTAAGTTCGAGAACCAAGGTACCACTGTATTTGGCGCTTTTGTTTTTGCTATTTATTTTGTGTTTTTGAGGCTTTTTGGTTAATTTGTTTTTGTGACTGTATTGATTGATAGTCTGTCTGTGGAAATGGATAAAAGCCCCCCATCGAAACAATGACTATCCTCAGTGCAGGTAAGAAAAAAAAATAAATTAATTTTTATCACCTACAATACTGCCTTATTTATTTTATAGTACAGTACATTGATTATTGCTTTCATTTTGTGGATCAGTGGTCTCTTTAGATAGTAAAATTCATGTTAAATTGCTGTTTTTAGGAGTTGTTTTTAAAAGTGTGAAACAGATTAATCCATTTTGCATTACCTTCTATGGGAAAGCACACCTTGGTTTTGGAACGCTTTGGTTTTGGAATGGACTTCTGGAAAGGATTAAGTTTGAGAACCAAGGTACCACTGTATATGCTATGTTAATGCTGATTGAGGGATGGGTCTTGTTAGGGTACACAAGCCTGTTCTCCACCAGCCAATCATAACTTGTGGCTTATCACAGCATCCTCTCAGCCTTGAATCATTATGCAGGTTGGTCACATAAGAGATGGGTAGACTTCTTTTGCTGGGCCAGCTGATAGGCTTGTGTTGTGGTATCTGAAGAAGTGTGCATGCACACGAAAGCTTATACCCAAAACAAACTTAGTTGGTCTCTAAGGTACTACTGGACAATTTTTATTTTTAAAAAAACTTATTTCAACTGCATCAGACCAACACAGATACGTACCTGAATCTGAGAATAATGTGTTTTGTTACTGTTGTAATTGAAAATCAATATGCACTGCATTCACCAAGAATATGAAAACATGAACATGAGCAAGAAGAGAAAATCAGGGATGTTATCCAACTGCCACCACTCAGCAGCAACCAAAGGGGGAAAAGTTTCTCATGCTCTGATAGTACATATTGTGCAGTGGCTTTAGAGGCAGGGAACAGTGAAATATCATTACCAAGCAGATGCATGGTTTTAGGTGCCTAGCAGATCACCCTTCCAAAAAGTGCCCACAGGGCCCTGGAGGTCTTCAAAACCACCCCATTAGGTGTAAAGGTCTACTGCATGAAGAAGGGAAAACATGACTATCCCCCAGTGCAGGTACTGAAGAATTTTGCAAGCACAGGTGGGACTCACTGGATGCTGGCTTACAGTTCTATGCCTAGTAATATAGAGGGATTTCAGAAATGCCTCATAGGGTTAGATCCGCAGTTCCCCTGAACTGAGTTCTCATTGACCTTCCGACTCCTGGAAGGTAGGGAAGAACATCCCCCCCCACTGATTCCCTACCCCGCCCCCTTGCATCTGAAAGTCCTGTGCCTCCTGAAATTCTGTTCCATAGAGGTGGAGCACCCTCTGGATCAGAGTCAGAGGAGACACAGAAGGTTATATGGACCACTGGAAACAACTCTCCTCCCTCCTCCATAATTATAGCTCAGTCGGTAGAGTCTGAGACTCTTAATCTCCAGGTTGTGGGTTTGAGCCCAACACTGGGCAAAAGATTCCTGCATTGCCAGGGGTTGGACTAGATGGCCCATGTGGTTCCTTTCAACTCTACAATTTGATGATTCTATGGTTAACACCAGCCTTTCTACTAAAGGAAGGGCCCCTTCTGTTAAATCAAGGGCTGCTAACTCCCATCTCCCATTCAGGCTCCAACTCCCATCAGCCCCAGCCACCATGGCTAATGGTCAGGGATGGTGCAAGTTGTAGTCCAACAACATCTAGAGGGCTCCACATTACCCACTGCTGCATTCAATGGAAGGACTACTCTAGATTCAAGCCATTATCGATCTCACCCTCATTTTTGTCCTTTTCCCCTTGGGAAGACAGAAAATTTATGGAGTCTGTAAAGAAAGAAAATTGACAGCTATAGTTTCCTCATTCATTAGAGGATGAGTCAATATCAGGCAACCTTTACTTTGTCAAAGACTGATTATGCTGCACTTCCCAAACACTCCAATAAAAGTGTTAAGTCTGAAAGAGGCAGTCTACAGATGTGTTTACACATATGAACCTCCTAATGAAGGATGAGCCTTCCTAGGGATTTTAGAACTAAATTCTGGATTTCGCAAATCAACTTTTTACTGAACTTCTGGAGGTTATACTTGGCTATTTTGAAAAGCGCTTTTGCACTTTCCATAGGCTGCAACTTACTGAAAGCATAACTTTCACGAAGGGCATCTGAAAAATTGATCTCTTGCTTAAATGGTAAGCATGTCAATCACCGAAATACTGATATGCTGGACTCATGATCCAAAGGCAGTTACTTAATGTACAGACATAAAGGCAGGAGCTAAATAATATGCTTGGCCATGTGTCTTCTGTGGATTCATTGCCATCATTCCACTCTACTCCTGGAATCTCTGAATCAAATTATCAGGCAACATTGTGTAAATCAGTGAACATGAACATTCAGGGCATGTATACATATGTGTGAGGTTGCTGCCTTGATCAAACACCACTTCAAACAATGCCACCCCCATGGCTTACATAGTGAGCATCTTTTGTGACTGGGCCAGAAGAAGAAAAGATGATCAGTCAACACACATCTGCTGGTGTTGGGAGGGCTGTCAACACTATTTAAACCCATGATGGGGCTTTTCCAACCTCTTCTGATTTTTGTTCTGCAGAAGTTTGTATGAATAAACATAGCCCTAGTTCAGCCCATTCTCTGTGTCATTGTGCAAAGCAAAACCAGTTCTTTTTGAGCTGAAGTGTTTTATATCTGAAAACATTGTACATGAACAAGAACTCCCATCCATCTTTTGCACTGCAGCCCCACTGGTGAAATGCTTCTCCAAGGGGTTTGGTGACCCTAAGGCACTGGTACTCTGTGTGGTGTCCTCCACACTGATGTTGTTGCAGCATGGCCAATTGTTAGGAATGATGGGAGCTGGAGTCCAGCAGCATTGGCTAAACCTGTCCTAAGGAACGGGCAGAGATGTGGGGCAAGGAGCTGCAGCGGTTGTGGGGGAATCAAGGGGAGTTGAGCAGAGGTACTTGTCCACTGAATCCTGGATCTTGCCAGCAGCTGGTTTGGGTTCATTAGGCTTGCCATATATCAGGAAAAATTCTGACATGACCTGGTTTGGGGTGTAAAAATGGCATCAGGGAGAATTTTGCCAAACTGGCAAAATGTCAGGGAAAACCTGGATGTATGGCAAAAAGCAGCAGAAACAGCTACAAAAGCTCACTATTTGGTGGGGGGGGAGGAGGTTTCCCCAGAAAGCTCAACAATTTTGGTGGGTGTCAGGAATTTCACTTTTTGAAATATGGCAACCCTAGGCTCACAGATGTTTGTCAACAATTGCCACCGGAGTCCATCTGCTTTGTGATTCAGCTTCCTAGTCACCTCAATTCAGGGAACAGCACACAGAGTCTTTGGACCTGTAAGAAACTGATGGATTGTGGCAGCCATATTTGAAAAACGAAACTTCCATTGATTTTTTACTACTGTAGAAAAACACACACACCAGTATCTGAAGTTATGATTTCTTTTCTTGCTTCTCTGCACACAAATCTGAACATTTTCAGGATCCCATCTGGGGAAAAATATCCACATCATATTTTAGATAGATTATTTAAATTGTAATTATTGCTGTGTGTTCTTAACACGTTTCCAGGGAAAACTCAGACACAAATAATAACCACATCTCCACCTTTAATGGGCTTGCAGCAGATGGAAAGCATTTTCTCTTTGTTGCTGTTTGAAAAGAACCCTCCAGAAATTACCTAGTCTCCCCTATCTTCTATTTTTACAGATAGCCAATAAACTGTGCTTAAAGGAAACCAAACCAGCCATCATTTCAGTTTATAGGCATAGCGGCAAGTCTTTAAAAATGAAATGCAATCAGAGTGTCCACAGATGTTCTTTCTGGAGGGTAATAAGAATAGTCGATTTTTGAGCAACTTTCATACCTGAAAGCTTATAATACTCATGTAGAAAATCTTTTCAACGGTGCTATGCATTGCACAGCACGCAAGATGAACAGATAAGCATAAAATAAAATGTGTTGGTGCAGAAAAAGCTGAGTCTCCAGAGACAAATTCTAAAAGTGCAGATGCTTATTCAAGGCCGATCTCAGCACTTCTCTGCAAACATGGACTTTCGAGCACAGTTTAAGAAAGCAATGTGACTTTGAAAGCTGTTGCTAGGTCTTTAAGGCAAAGTCAGGGATGTTGTGGTTCTGATCTTGCTAAGCTACAGCTTCCATCACCCCTGACTATTGACCATGCTGGATTAGGGTGATGTGAGTTGGAGTCCAACAACTTCTGGAGAGCACTGTATTAACTACTCCTGTCCTGGAGTGTCATCAGGATCACATGTTGGTTCTTGCTTCCTCCTCTGGAAGAGATGATTAGTCTGTTCCTGTAGCCCTGGAGGTGATTGTGATAGCTCTAAATCTGCACTATGTGAACACATTGTAGCTGCATTATTTTCATTTTTCTAGGGCCTCATTTCTTGGTTGAGTAGTGATGCTTCACATGCATGGAAGAATTTAGAACTCACCAGCAAGGTCACTGCACAGAAATCTAACAGACCAGGTAAGTTTGCCTTCAAGATGTGTTATCTTCTAATGAAGTTAAATCATTGCTGTTAATTTCACAGAACTCAGCACACATAGCTGCTTGCAAGCACCTTCTGCACATCATCAGGCCAGATCAACTGAAATTGATCCCATAATGTTGCTGTGGATGTTGCATTTGACATCTCGCCGGGGATTGTTGTGAATGTGAATGTGCCATCATGATTGCTGTGGAGACGAGCAACTTTACCCTCAAATGTAACCTGCAAATAAGTCACAGTGTACTTCCAATGGGTCTAAAATGCCATTTCCTAGAGTATATATTTACACACCCCAGACAGCACAAAAAAGCTCTGCTGGACAGCTGCTTGAGGCTGCAATGGAAGCAGAGAAGTGAATTACTGTCACTAAAGCTCAGAATCTTAGTCAAAAGAAATCCTGGACAGATCTGAGTCACAAATGTCAATCAGATATTAATTCTGCCCATATACTAACAATATATCATTGGACCTGCCATCTCAGAAAGGGGGGGGGGAATCAAAGATAGCCATATTCAAAAAGTAATTGCCTGCTGCATGCACTGCCAATACTGAAGATTGAGAAAAAATATGAAATTTAAACTAAATTTCTATGCTTTTTTCTCTCAAAAGGCAAAAGAAGCATGGTTCTAATTCCCTGGGTTTTTAAATGACTAATGAGACATGTTTTACATTTTAGCCATGAGCTACAATAATTAGGTGTGGATTTGGAAGCGGGGGTGGGAGAAGAGAGATGATTTTGCAGGAGGAAAGGTAATGTCCGGGGAGATCATTTCAATCTTTTAGGTTATGTAAGCATGTTTGACATTGTTGTAATCATGTGAAGCCCCATAGCTAGACAATCACCATGGGACATTCACATGGGAAGGGAAAGGAAGGAGGTGGATGAGAAAAGGACCTGCCTGCCGTCTCCCACTGCAGTTCTTGGAAACAGACTTGGCGTATGGCATGCCATTCATTCGCCCACCCCTTGTGCATACCTAAAGACATGGAAGGTGGACCTGTGTAATATCTCTCCATTCCAATGCAAAGGAGATGTTCTCAGCAAACACCACCCTTAATTAAACGCACAGCTCTTTTTTTCTTTTTTAATTCACTTTAGTGTACTTTGGCAACTTGGCTCATACTTCCCAAGAGATGTTTGACTTCTAGGGGCTTTAAAGAGTCTGCCGCGTTTAATTATGTGGCTGCTTAACACAGTTTGACAGATGCATCCATATGTGGCACAAAACAAAGCTGTGTCAGCCCATAAAACTTTGGTTTTAATGAGCAGAAGCTTGGGAGGTGGAGGGGAGTTTGTTCGATTTCCTTCTTACTAAAATGAAATGAAAATAAATTTAGGTTATGTTCACATTCAAATCAAAGTATCATAGAATTGTAGAGTTGGAAGGGACCCCGAGGCTCAGCTAGTCCTACCCCGTGAAATGTAGGAATTGTTATGTACTGAAGTTCTCACCCTGGGCCAGCAGGGGAATACTGTAGATAGTTTTCACTCAGGTCCACATATGCAAATAAGGAATAGAAAGTGACATTCAGTGATTGGATAGTTACAGAAAGTTGTTACTGTTGCTTTGTAGTTGAGCTCTATATAAGCAGGTTGGCTGAACCCTTCAGCCCAGTGCTGCTCTGGCCTGTGAATAAACAAGAGCTGTCTGAAGAATCGCTGTGTCGTCTGATATGTTCACCCACAACTTCACAGGAATCATGACAGATGGCCATCCAACCTCTGCTTAAAAACCTCCAAGGAAGGAGAGTCCATCACCACCTCCCCAAGGGAGTCTGCTCCACTGTAGAATAGCTCTTACCATCAGCAAGCTCTTCTGGTGTTTAGTTGGAATCTCTTTTCTTGTGGTTCAGGTCCTACTGTCCAGAGCAGGAGAAAACAAGCTTTCATGTGAGAGCCCTTTATATATCTGAAGATGGCTATCATATC